TTCTTTTGTAGATGTCAATGTCAGTGCCTCCGTCTTTGACGACTACGCAACCAAGGTACACAAAGTCGTTGACCTCTTCTATTATACGTCCCTCTATTGAGATGGGTGCGCTTTCATTAGTTCTTATGCGTATCATCTTGATTTTGTTGATATTAATTTTTAGTCCAACCTCTGCTGCGCATCTTTGCAAGGCTGATAGTCTTCCTTACGCGTCGCTGTACGTGTGTGATAATAGCACGATGTCATCTGTATAGTCGAGATCGTTGAGCCGGTGGGTCAGCAGCCATTGTATTCCGCCTGCTGTTTTTTGGTTGCACTTTTCCATCACCGTGTCTAGCACCATCAGGAACAGCAGCGGTGATAATACGCAATGTCCCTGTCGGACCCCTTTGTTGATCTGGAAGGCGGGGCTCAGTTTTCCTTTAAAGAGGATATTACATTTCGCGCTGTTGTATAACTCTTTTATAAATCTTATTGTTTGGGCTGGTATTCCAAATTTCTCTAGTACCTTTTAGATAGCCGGTCTTGTTACGATGTCAAATGCTCTTTCGAAGTCCACTAATGTCATATACAACGGTGAGCCGAATTCCGCCGACTGCTCCACGATGATGCGGAGGCTGTTTATATGATCTATACAGCTGCGTCCCGGGCAAAATCCTGCTTGCTCGCTCCTCAGCTTTCCGTTGACGTGTGCTGCCAATCTCTCGTGAATAATAGATGCAAGAATCTTGGTGATTGTGTTTAAGAGGGTTATTCTACGCCAATTTCTACACTCACGGAGATCACCTTTCTTCGGTATTGTGATAATTAGCCCTTGTTTTCATGTTTCCGGAATGCTGCCTGTGTTCCAGACTTTTGTCAGAATAATGGGCACAAGCGTTTCTGCCGCTGATGTAGAATCGCTTTGAGTAGTTCTGGTACGATATTATCACTATCGTCGGCTTTGTTGTTCTTTAGCTTCTTTATTGCCGATCTGATTTCAGCAGCTGATGGTGGTTGCGTACTGATACGCGATGTTGATGAATAGTCAATGTTTTGACTATCGTTTGTCGGGTCATTGGGCTTAAAGAATTCTGCCCATTGGTTAAGTTGCTGTTGCTCCGTGGTGAGAATGCGGCCATCGTTGTTTTTAATTAGTGGGATGTTCGTAAACTAGCCAGTGATTCTTCTGATACACTGGTACATTCCGCTCACATCTTTTCGTTCTGCCATGGTTCTGCGTCAGTAATGATGTTTTCCTCGAATTTGCAACGATCTCTCCTCGCCGTTTTCCTGATTTGTTCTATATTATTGTATCTTGCGAGAATTACATCATCCCAACTCCGGTTTAGCCGTAGGTTCAGCGTTTTTCTTTGCTCTATTAATTCCCAGGTCTCATTGGTAATCCATGGCCTACGGGTGCTGTCTTTGAGCCCGATGACTTCAGCTGTGGTTTCAATGTACGCTTTCTGTACTGTATCTCATTTTTCCTTAGCATTTGTTTTAGGATTAATTTCTGTTATCTTGGCTGCCAGGATTTTGCAGAAGTTTTGGTGAGCGCTCTTGATCTTGAGTTTTTCAGTATCAAATTTCTTTCGACTTATTCTTGACTGATTTCGACTTATTTTTGTTATTATTTTCATTGGTTTTATGCGTATTTTTGCCACGACTAGCTTATTGTCGCTATACGTATCTGCACTACGCATTGTCCGAACATCCAGGAGAGAGTTCAGAGATCTTTTGTCAATCAATACGTGATCGATTTGGTTGCGTGTTACTC